AACTGTTTGTTACTGCTATTTATACAGAATGATGGCTGTACCACACACAGATAAACTGAAGTAAAACACATTAGCCATAAACCTGGTCAATCATGGAAACTGCTGTCACAGCTAACCAAGTAAAAGGTACAGAAGGGTTGAGAGAAGTTCAAACAAAGTAAGCCTGACAAGTCTGAATCCTGAGGCTTTGCAAATTTGATACAAAGCTTACAGCAAATTACCACGAATGGCAATACTGTGTTGCAGGGCTATATGGTTACGGTGTTTTAGCCCCAAAAAGCCATAAGCCCCAAAAGCCATAAGCAGATAAGAGCAAGCTGTACACACTACCAGATAACCCATCAGGTTTAAGCAATTTTTTTAGAATTGGAATTTTTTATCTTTTGAAGTAGAAAGCACAAGAATGCAAGAATTAGTCTCAGTTATCTGACCTTTCAAAACTAGAAGTTAGCTCAACGCATGTTGCCTCTTTTTATAAACAAAATTGCATTATCTAGTGAATGGTGGAAAACGAGGGTAATGGCAATGACAGTCGAGCACTGAAACTGGCTGGTTCTTTCTCAGAAACCTTTGATAAAAAACAATCCACAGCCTCCCCAGGCAAACAAACATGCACCAGTTTAGCTGATTCTGCTTTGCACTAGCTAATCTCATGTCCCTTTCCATCCTATTGTTCTCTATCAGTAGTTTGCTTTTTTACCTTAAATAAAATATTCCTTGTGCATTCTCAAACAGGACCACTCTTCTTATCTCCTTTGTCTTTTTTATAGTCTCCTCATGTGATATGCTGGTGTGTGTTTCCAAAAAGCCTCTGACTGGATTTGGGTTTTGCAAAGCTTAAAAGTGGCCTTGTTTAATGCAGTCTGTGGGGTTTTTTTGCTTGTTTGGTTGGTTGGTTTTTGTTTGGTTGTTTTTTTTTTTAACCATGCCATCCTTTATTATATCTAAAGAATTATTTTACAATCAGCTATTAAAATGATCACAAAGAAAGTGAAGCTCATGTTGCTGGGCCTGCTATCTCTTAAAGCATTTGTATAGTTAATGTTGCAGATTCTTTGTTTTTCAATTAGAAAAAAATACCCGTGCCTGAATTCTCTAGGCAGTCAGTGTTTTGGTATTAATAAGGTATCTTTGGCATCTTCTCCACTCACATCCAAACTTGCGGATGTGAATGGAGACCTGTGACCTGGCACCTCTTTAATACCAATGATCACAGCAGTCTTATCCATAGTTTCCTCTAGAGCTGCAATGCTGAACCATGGTCTGGCAAGGACATCTTGATACCCAGAAGGGAAATCTCCAATCCTGTAACATATTCTTAAAGAGTAACGCAAGGTAAAAAAAAAAACAACAAATCTGTCTTTTTAATGCAGGATCATTTGCAAAAGTGTAGTATCGAGTATTTTTGTCAAGGCTTTGCCTAAGGATCTCAGGACCAGGTCAGAGACATCACTCAGTGTCATAATAGTATTTCTATTATTTCCAGTAATCCCATTTTAACAACAGAGCCCTCTTGTTACTCTAATCTGAACGATGAAGCTTGGGTGGGATGATATTTTGTCAGTCCTATTGAGAGCTACTGTATGCATACAGCTTTTGCAGTTCATCTTAGTTCTGATCAAAGAGAAGGAAAAAATAGGCAAAGTTGTTTCCTTTATGTAAAATTTAAGAATCTACCCCAACATACGCAGACAGAGTTCATGCCTATTCACAACATGGACACAGCATTCAAGGAAGTGTACCAGGGACACAGCAGATAAATAAGGGATTTGGACCAGAAGCAGCACAAAGATAAGCAACAATTCGTTAAGTACAAAAAAAAATTGTGTAGACTCATCCTACTGAGTTCTGATAACCTGAATTAGGTTCTGACATTTTCTTTTGATAGAGGTATAACCCATCAGCTATCAGGGATTTTCAGAAGAGCTTCAGAGAAGGCATGGAGAAAGAGGAGTGAGCTGTGATGTGTGGAGCAAGTTAGAATAAATTCCATGAGGTGCATTAAAGCAGCATGATCTGCCCCTGCCACTGACTGAGGTGGAATTTGTTTGCCTGGCACTTCCTCGCAGAAAGGTTTTTGGCAGATTTTGTTTCGGAAGCAGTGATTGTTAATTCTGGTGTGAGTAGCTAAATTCTGAGTAGCTAAATTCGGAGGGAGTAGCTAATTCGGAGGGAGTAGATAAACCAAGGCTATCATGATATGTGGATTTTGGTAATTTTGGGAATATAATAGCTAACATTCAAAGTGGTGCTGGACATTTACTCTGTATATTCCTTTGCCACAGGAGAGATATGAAAGGTTTTACCATGTTAATACTTGTTAATGCCTTGGAAATACTCCATATTCTTTCTCTCTCTCTCTCCATGCCCCCCCCCCCCCCTTCTCCCCCAAATCTATTTTTAACTTCACAGGGAAACCAAACAAATAAACAATTGCTGCTGGAGAAGGGAGAGTTGAAGAATACGAAAAACCTGATGCATCTTTGCCCAGAAGCATTCCGCAGTTCTGGGGAGATTTCAGGTGTGTCACTGTTTTAGTCTGGGACCAACTGTAAGTGAAATGCATTCCTGTGGAAACCAATAGGCACAGTTCTTCTAAAACAATTCAGACATCAATGTACACTCATGTCCCAGGTGGAATCTTCATTGGTTATATTCTGGAAGGTCAAATGTCAGATTGTTCTGTCCTGGTTCAGAACAGGCAAATGGCCAATTTGAAAGTTCAGAGAAGGCATGTATATTTTACTCTAGTCCATTTAAGACACATAAATCTGAATTAAAACCAGGCAACCCCCCCAAAAAAACATATGATTTCCCTACTGCAACCATGGATTAAAATGATTTGTGAGGAATAAAAAAAAGTGTTTTTATGGCAATGGTTTGGCTTGGGTCTTTTCTGAACTGGTATAAGGTTTCAAGCGAGAGGAAGATCACAGTGGTGCATCTCATTGCCTGCAGCTGGAGGTGCACTTGCCAGCAGCAGAACCTGTAAGAGGGAAGGAGCAGTCTTGGGGATGCCTTGAATCACTTGACTGGTGTATGATGTGATATGGGTATATGGGGGAGATGGCACAACACCAGCTGGAAGCCAAATGAAGAATTAATGATCACAGAAGATTTTGAAGGTACAGAATGTAATTTATTGCCCAAAGTAGCATTTTGGAGTGGGCAATGATCTTCAGCTTCTCTGCATTCACTGACCCTGCTGAGAACTATTTTACGAACTTGAAGGATGATGAAGGGTATGTTGTTTACAGAGGCATTAGCCGGTGCAGAGCCGTGCAGCAGCACCAGGAGGATCACTCTCTGTGTGTGCATTCTGTTCTGAAACGAAAGCATGCTTTGTGAAGGAATTCATCTTTAAAGGGCTGTCTGCCTAAGTGCACGTCTGGAATAACTCTTGCGGAATAATGCAGTTTGCAAAAGCAGTGCCAGCCAGTTCCTCTGGGAACAAAGACAAAGCCTTGGGCACCCAGGATGAGACTAGGTACTTTGATAAATGACTTGATGTCCCAAATGGGGACCCTGAGAGCACTCCTGTGATGCGCTGATGGTGGCTAGGAGCCACGGGTTTTGTTGGTTGGTTTCCCCACTTGGCCAGCACTGATGACACCTGTGAATGCTCTTAACCTCTCACAGGCAGAGGATGGGAAGTTTTTCACATGCAGTTTGAAAGAGGCTGGGATGCTGTTCCTATCCCTTCTGCCACGTGAAACCCTCTCACCTACCCAGGCAGTGACCCTGAGGGGCTGTCAGCAACTCCTCCTGCTCACTGGAGTCCTCTGGCACCTCCTTCACATGCAGTCCTGTACCCACTGGGGAGTGCTAAAAAGGATGCTTCCCAAACACTGCCTCCAAGAAGCCTGCAGAACTCTTGCAGAAAAAGCAAGTAGTCTTGCTAAAAGCACCTTTCCCATCCATCTAAAATGGCAGATTAAGTCATGTGTATGACTCAGCCTCATTTTCTTGTCCTGTGACTTCAGGCAAGTCACTTCTCTTCCAGCTTTCTGACAAGTTTTGGCCATCTGAATTTTTTTTTTTTTTTGTTAAAAAAAAAAAAAAGCTTCGTGCCTTGTTTGGGAAAATGTGTGTGTGGCACCCTGGAAAAAAAATAAGGCTGAGCCGCGTTGAACTGAATGCCCTCCAAAGCAACGCCAGTCCGTGTTTTCCATCACACCTGTCTTTGCCAGCTGTAAAACGAGGGTGGTACAATATTCCTTAAAGATTGCAAATATGCTAGCTGATAAATTTTAGGAGATAAAGTCATTGAAGGCAATAATAAAACTGTATTTCGGGTGGTGGGGGTGAGTAAGGACGGGGCAGGCCCCATTCCTGTAATCCTTCCCCACGGCGGTCCCCGAGGCAGGCGGCTCGTTTGGGCGGGCGGCCCCCTCAGCCCCCATGGCCCCGCCCCTCCGCTCCGGCGGGAAAGGTGCCGGGTTTGTCCCCTCAGGAGGAAGAAAGGGGACGGGAGCCGCAGCCTCCGCGGGTCTGGGGAGCTCAGGTCCCGGGTACTGTAACCACTCGCAGCCCCACGCTCTCCAAGGTTCCCGGGGATGAGCTGTGTGTTAATGGTCGTTGTAATTCTGGTGCCTCACCCTTTGGGAAAGGACATTTATATCCCGTGAAGAGGCAGCTGGCAAGGAAAAGCCAAATAAATCTGCGTGTTGATATATGATTAATCATTTATTTTCCTCTGAGTCAACAGATGCGAAAGTCTGCCGTGGTGTGCCTCGGTGCAGGTCAGATCACCTCCTGTCCCCAGCGCAGGGGCCAGCACCCTGCACCTGTCACATCAGCTGCCAGGTTCTGTCAGTTCAAAAGCAGCTCATCAGGCACTGTGCTGTGCTGCGGCCAGGACCCCCTCGCAACGACAGCCTCAGTCTGCTGGAAGGAGGGCAGGTCTCACATATCACAGAACCTCAGACAGGTTTGGGTTGGAAGGGACCTTAAAGTTTAACCAGTTCCAACCCCCTGCCACCAGCAGGGACAGCTTCCACTAGACCAGGTTGCTCCAAGCCCCATCCAACCTGGCCTTGAACACTGCCAGGGATGAGGCAGCCACAGCTTCTCTGGACAGCCTGTGCCAGGGCCTCACCACCCTCACAGGAAATAATTTCTTCCTTATATCTAATCTAAATCTTCCCTAATGAACATTCATAATGTATCCTAACAAACAGCTCCCAAGGTGGTAACAGAAGGGTTAGGGCACCCAAGGTGGCACAGAAGTGTTTGTGTTTCCTCACCAAAGTGGATAGATTCTCCGTGTTGTCTTGGACTTTCACCCTTTTATCTGCTTCATTGCAGGCGCTGGTGACTGGAATCCTCTGGGTCTTTGATGCACTAACACACCACCAACGGGAGGCCCCTCTGCTTGACAGGCAGATTTTGTTCATACCTAAAGATTTTAGTAGGGTGCGGTGTAATTCCTTCATTTTCCCTCGTAGGCTGCAGGAAGGCGCAGGCCTGGGTCTGCCTCGTTTTTCTGCTGTGAGATGCCAGTTGCCTGAGGATGGGGAGCAGGAGAGCTATCCCATCAACTGTTTAGCTGTGTTTGTAGTGCAGGATTACGTGCATTTCAGGAACATATTTTCAATGGAGAAGGGGACTGGAATACAGATGTAATGCCTTTTGCATTATTTCTTCTTCCTTCAGTATTTGAAGCTAAGAGGTTTTCAAAATCTTTTCAAGTACTTTTTATTTAATGTTTTACTGTAACCATTTTTCTGAATGATATTAGGCATAATGTGAAGGCATGATTTTCTCATTCCATAATTGTCAGGGTTCTGAAATAGAAATGAAATATATCCTGACACTATCAGAAACACTGATTTTATAGGAATATCTCCATTAAATGCTAACAGAAGTGTCTCTATCATATTTTCACTTGAAACCCAAATAAGATCATTCTAAAATTACATTTTCTTTCTCACTTCTCCCAGCGTCTGAATGCACAAGATTCTTGCAAGCAAATTAGTCAGACCTTAAGTATCCATTTAGAAGCTGAAAAAAGCTATTTGCAGATATTTAGTATAAATTACCCTATCCTCTGTTAGATGTAGCCCATCTTGTAGTTTCATAATAAACCTGTCTTACCTTTCATGGATTTTATTAACAAGGATGAGCAAGCAAACATACACACACATCTGATGGCATAGTTTACAAAGCTTTTGATCAGCCATCGCTAGAACAGTTAAAACAAGCTCATAAGTAAGACAGAAGCAACCTAAAACCAAAACCACAAAAATTATAAGGCAGGTTATAAGATCACATTTCTAAGGAACTACTTTGTATTCATTTTTCTTACATTCATAAAATAAAAGGAAGTAATATTTTGCTTTTGATTTAATCATTATATCAATAACTGTCTTTTCTGGTTCTTGCCCTTGCTTACAGAAGTCACATGAGAGGGCAGTGACATGGCAAGTTAACCATGAAAAAACATGAAACAAGCTCTCTGTATATTATTTTGCACAATAAAAGCCTCATATTTTTATATCCCTGTTTTATTCTCTTCATGCAAGCATACTTTGTACAGGTGTTACTTCTATGTCTTCAATATTTATTAAGTATTCTGAACCCCAGCAAGAACTCAAAAACAAATACAGCTTTATAGTCTGTTCTGAAGATACATGGCTAAGGAGTTGTAACCTTCTCAACAGCACTGTTTTGTGGGCTTTCTGTCACTTAAAGATGGACGAGCTGAGAGGTTGAATAGCCTATTACCCGTTCTGTCTGCAACTAGGCTGACTTCTGTCATAAAAATACAAACTTAACTTTCTTACCAGAATAAATTCCACTAATGTTAAATCATTTAAAATATTCCCACGTCCAAACTCATCTCTGACCCAAGATGGGAGTAAGATTTGTTTTTCCTAACACCCGTTAAGCCCTTTCTAGTCAAACTGCTTCATCTGAGAGTAATGCAGTGTATTTTATCATGTTGGGCTGGTCGGTCAGATAACAAAGAGTTGGAAGCAGAATCTGAGTTTAAATCCATATATGATGAACTGAGAAGTTTCTGTAGTTCAAGGACTTCTTAAAAATCCTTTTACAGTTATTAATTCATTTATTGCCACCTCAATACTATATTTGTTTGCATTTCCCAGTAGTGATCAGTACTTTATAGCCTGTTCTTCCATGATGAAGGCCTTGGAGGATCAAGTAGTCCAAGAAGAACCAGGATACCAGGATGATGAGGTAAATTTATGGTTGATTGACAAATATTAGCAGCAAATGTTGTTTGAAGATATTTTGATAATGTTACGAAGTCCACAGAGGGACAGGAGGTCCCCAAAGACCATCAGGGAACTCAGTGCATTTGAAATCTTCTTCAAGTCTAATACCAAGAAAATCTTATTCTCCTGATCCTGGTACAGCCTTGCTCTTCAAGTACCTTTAACCTTTCAAAAGCTATGCAGAGTTTTTAATAGGATTATCATTATTTCTGTATATTTTGCACTTCTATATTAAGTGCAAGGGGACTATCAATTAATTTTATGCTTCCAATGAATGGTCATCAGCCTGAAAAGACTGAGGAACTGTGGCAGAAAAAGATCAAGATGATGATCATAACACAAGTTCTATTAGCACAGCAGAGGACTGCGTGCCTGTGAAGATCCACTTTACGAAGAGGGTGATAGGAAATGTGTAGGCCTTCTTGGCTCACTATGGCTTTGCTTATTTGGGTAGTCCAACAAGCTCTGTATGATTAGGGAAAATCATTGAAATGTTTACAAATTTGAAACAGTCACATAGTGAGATAGATGTAATTACAAGAAAGAGCAAAACCTGGTTTTATTTTTTTCTGCTATTTTCTTTTTAGGAATCCTTTTTCCAGGATATTGACCTGCTACAGAAGCATGGAATTGTAAGTATTAGCAATGAATTTACATTGCCCATGCAAAGTTATTTTAAGGTTGTTTCCAACAGCGCAAACACATCAATGCAGATGACTGAAATTCCTCCTTGCAATAAATTCTAAATCAGTCATATGAAGACAATTTTTGCCTTTGGTGATAAGACAGGTTTTCAGAAACTCTCATTCCCATCAGATTCCTAAATAAAGTGGCAAGATATTCAAAGTATTTAGCACCCAGCACTCTTGAAAAACCAACTACTTGCTAATTTATTTGAAAACTGTGTGATAGATTACTTCCTGTTCCTGCCAATCTTTGTAATTACTCCTGCATTTTTGGTGCCTGTGAAATTACACTGTGACAATTGTTGCTATACTATTTTCAGCATGCTGGTGAAGGGGGTAGAGTGGGAGTGAGGAAAATATTAGTAGCTAGAGAAAGAAATGGTTAGTTTTCTTCATTAAATATGAATTCCTAACGTCGTTATCACCACCATAATTATTATTATCACATAAATGTCACCTATTTATTTGAATTACTATTATTAGATGCTTAGCCAGGAGACTGGCTCATAGATGGGAACCCTATTACATTCAGTGTTATAGAAACAGAATAAAAAGTTGGGCTGGCCCAAAGTAATATAAGATTAAATATATAAACAACTACAGACAGATACAGATGGGGAGGCCACAGGCACAATGAGACAGCAATAGTCAGCACTGTAATTCTGGGCTTGGCGTGTCAGCAATATAATTGTTGTCAACTTTTTTTTATTGGTAAGTCATTGACAATTTTAAAGAGAGTTCTGAATGAACATCATGAGGGTGAGAGCTCAAACTATAGGATGACATAAGAAAAATACACAAATTCTTGTGTTAAAAATGTAACAAGTTGACCAAAGAGGCTGCCCTCAAGAGCTGGAAGGGAGCTGTACTAGCCTGTCAGTATTAAATGAGGCATGCTATGCAGAGAACGATACCAAGATATGGAAGGTCTTGAAAACAAAGAATAATGACATAGGCTGTTCTTCTGCCTTAATAAGGGTTTCCTGCTCCTTTTCATTTTAATTTTTCTTCTTTCGAAATGATTATTTCCACAACCCAGGGGAAGGTTTTGTTCTCATCTCTGCCAGTTAAAATCTTTGTGTGAACATATGACCCACATCGCCTAAATTCATTTGCTTAAAGAAATAATTTTTGTGAGTTTGATACCCCCCCCGGAGTAGAGAGAGAAATATTTACTAGATCTGAGAGTATGGCCACAAAGACAGCCAGATTTGCACCACCAAGGCTGTGGTTTGATGTTCCAAAGCATTTGGTAAGGGGTTCAGGTTATGTGAGCCTTTGCTAAGCCTTTCTACCCCTAGAAAATACTAGTCCTTCTGGCGACTTTTGTAACCACACTGTGAACTGGATTTGTGAATCAAAAAAATAAAAATATCACAACAAATAATGTCATTTAGGTTTTGTATTTGCAAATCCTTGGTCTGCCCTTTTCCACCTCAGAGGCCAGGACTGGCACAGGGCTGCAACATAAGGCAGAGGATCAGGACAAGCAGCTGGTGCAAGGCATGTCAGTGTGTTAAAATGACTGCACAATGCTTTGTAGCATTGAACTCTTGGCTAAGGAAGTGTAGATCTTGGCTGAACCCTGGCTGGTGCACAAGCTGTTGGTGAAAAGGGTATCTGTGCAGGACTGAACAGGAACTTCTACAACCAGGTCTACCACACGGAGATTTGCAATGCAGAACAGCCTTGGGTCTGACATGACCAGAAAGACAGAGACACTGAGGAAATGCAGATGCAGGATAATGTCTTTTAAGTTTTGGCCTAGAAAAATTATCTTTGCAGCAGGAGTCTGTTTGTCTTAATAGAAAAACACAATCCTTATTATACTGCTGATTGTTATATTCCTTTGGGTGGAAGAGTCATTTTTATTCATGACTTATTTTAACCCACCCATCCCTATGAATGTAATAATCAAGAAACCTATCACAGCATGAGAAATAAGCTTCCAAATGAACATGACTAATTTCTTGCATAACCCCCCTCTCTTCTTATGTCCTATGCACCCACACTCTCTAGATAAATAGATGATACATCCAGTTCAAAGGGTTTTTTTTTTCCAAAGAAAAATCTTGGCTGAAAATGGTAAATTGAAGTGTTATCCCACACCTTTCACATAATTTGTTTTCTTGTGATAATCTGTTGTTTGCGTTTAAGTTTTCAGTGATGTCAGAATCATCAAATGAGGTGAGAGGAGGCAAAATGTGTCAGTAGGGCGCTGACTGAAGTGATGCTGTACACAATTTACGAAGAACTCTATCAGTCCATTGCAGCCCAGAGTGTCAGTCAGATGTGGAGGATATGTGTGCTTTAAACTGGATGTACTGGGAATGTGTAGAAACAGCACATCCGTTAGCGTCAGTTTCCAATAATCCTTGTGACTCAGCTCCCAGTTGCCCACGATCAGATTATCTGATTTACAGATTATCTGTGCTAAGGGACCAAGGACAGATTGAGTGTTACTGAGTTTACTAGGTCGGGCTCCATGCTATCTGAAATAATCTGTACTGGTTCTTTAGTACCAGCTTGGATCTAGAAAGACTGAAACTGAACAGGGGTATGTAAATACAACTTGACCCAGACATCTTTGTCACCATGATCCCTCATACCAGTGTTACTCAAAATTTTCTGTTGTTGGTGTCACAAACTACATAATAAAGAGTTTACTGTAAATCTGTTTCTTCCTTGGTGAAAATACACATGCATATCAATGTATAATAAAATATGTTTCCAAGGATTACTCTGCCTGCTAGTTGTTAACCATCCTGAGCACTCACAGAAGGGAACTTTCTTCACAGAACGTAGCAGATATTAAGAAACTGAAGTCAGTTGGGATCTGCACGATCAAAGGAATCCAGATGACCACAAGACGGGCACTATGCAATGTAAAAGGGCTTTCGGAGGCCAAAGTGGACAAGATTAAAGAAGCCGCAAACAAGCTTATTGTAAGTCATTCATTTTGCTTATTGTTTAAACTTATGTTGGACTCTCCAAAATGCTGGGCAACATTTCTCTGAACAGATTTTTCTACCACATCATCAAGATAAATTGTGAAAATTATTCTGATTGTTACTATAAAGGGATAATACTTTACAACAATCAGACAAATGCTGTTGCACTTTTCAAACCTATCCTATGTAAATGAGACTATGGTGGAGAGAAGATATTTATGTGGGATTATTGCACTTTACCTTTGGGTTAAAGCTAAAATAAGCTTTTCATGTTCTCGTTGGTCTTCCTTAGGAACCAGGCTTCCTGACTGCCTCTGAGTACAGTGAAAAACGGAAGATGGTATTTCATATTACTACTGGCAGCCAGGAATTTGAGTAAGCTTATCTCTACTTAAATCCTGCCTTAATCCAAATTGTTCCAATAATCCTACTTATTGTCTTTAATGAGACACAAGAATATAAATGAATAAATATTCAGCTAGGACACGTAGGTTACCTTGCATTTGGAGCTGCGGCTGGCTCAAAGGTGCCTGCACCAGTAAGCAACAAAACCAACTCCTTTTCTGAAGGGAAACTGGACTTTTTACAGTCACTGTAAATAAACAGGGTTTGTATCCGTAAATCCCAAATGTATCATCATTTTCCACCTAGTCAAAACAATCTGCAGGTCCAGGGCCAAAATTAATTCAAGACCTCCCTTGGGATACTTTTTATGGAACATTATCTTTTCAAAGGTATTTTCTTTCCAGTAGTAATTTCTATAGATCTTTCTCTTGCACACATAAAGGGAGGCTAATACAGAGTTAATTCATTATGAATCAGTGATCATTTAGTGCCCTGGAGGAATTAGGGCAGAAATAAATTTCTTAAAGTAGCAAAACTTTCTGGTTTTGACTTTTCTCTTGTGATTTGTGGGTCTAACTATATCGTAATCCTCTCCCTTTCTCCAGTAAACTCCTGGGTGGTGGGATTGAAAGTATGGCAATCACCGAAGCCTTTGGAGGTGAGAAATAGGACAACAAATTGCAACTTAGTTTAGATTTTAAATTAAGATGGGTTACTTTTATCAAACTTGCCCCATTGTAGTCATAAAGATGAGCACCCACATGAGTGTAAGAAGAAAGAAACTGCTTCTCTTTTCCCATTATTCCTCTTCACTTGCTTGCAGGCTTTGAGCTGAGTAATCATTAGACTTGGGGCATGCTGATTCAGTAAACCACAACACTATTAATGCTGTTAGTAATGTGTCATGTAGAAAAAATTTCCCTGATGCAATCTGTGTTCCCTTCCAGTAACAAAACTGCCACAGAAGGTATTTTATTTATCCACACTTAAGATACGTTGCATTTCAAGTAAGATTTTGAAATTACAGTTAAACTACTATTACAGTAAGTTTGATCAGTTAGTGGCAAACACTTCAAAACTAATAAGAGTTTATAAAACACAGTACTCTTCCCCTTAGAAAAGATAACCTGGGGACTTAACATGATTGGATATAATGAGATTAAATGCTCCATCCCTGGCAATATTCAAGGCCAGGATGAACAGAGCCTTGGGTGACATGGTCTAGGGTGAGGTGGCCCTGCCTGTGGGAGGAGGGTTGGAACTAGATGATCTCAAGGTCCTTTCCAACCCAAACCATTCTATGATTCTATGATCATTTTACCAAAAATGAAACTAGGCCAGGTCAGTGGAATCAGCCATTCCTTCACCCCTCCCTCAATTAATGATTTTCTATAGGTGCCACGCGGTTTTAACTTCTACACAGAAAAGAATAAATGATGTTAGCAGTCAAACATGATTAAATTAAAGCAGTTCAGATTTTGCTTTTCATGTTACACACTTCTACTGCACGGAATATGATTTATAAATTGGGGTTAAATGATTGTAAAAGGTAGGGATAGAGGTGAATTTTGTAAATAAGCGTGTTGCTAACTGCAGTAACTACTGAAAAAGAAACCCTGACATTTTTTATTTTCCTTTTCTTTTTCTGTTTCAACAGAGTTCCGGACAGGCAAAACCCAACTAGCTCACACCCTTTGTGGTAGGTGTAATCCCTTACAAAAAAAACGCTGTTTCTGTTCAGTGAATCCATTCTTTACAACTACATCAGAATTAAACACATAGAGACAAGTTGGAATCCTTTATCTCTAGAAATACTGTGAAACAGACCCTGGTGACTCTGACAACCATTAATTGTGTCTAGGTAGAGAACTCATAGAAATGATTACTTTTTAATACTGCTCACATCACCTTAAGTTTTGCTATAAGGAGAGAGAAACTAACAGAATGTCCTATATGAGCCAGTGAAACAGGCCATCTGGAAATAATGCACGAATAAGGGTTACAGGTGGACAGAGACATTGCTCAGAAAAGGGCAAAGGCAAGACTCTCAGCAACTCTTCATTTTCTGGTTTCAAGAGGTTTTGCTGAATGTGACATTCTGAAAGGGCACTGAAGGGATACTTCTGGTGACAGGAGCTGGATAATCAAAATCTCTGGTAGTTACCCTATTCAGGCAGTGCCAGCTGATACAGCAGGACTCTGATTTCCAGCAATAGCTCTCAAGCTGTAAATAGTAGTAAATAATAACTAATATAACTATTAATGACTCTGGAATACATTTACCAGACATTGGGTAGGCAAACATTCCTTTAAATGAATCCTATATTATACAGGAAATTATGGCAGCTTCTGGAAAAATAAGGCTGATTCTGTGGAGTGCAGTCTAATGGTCAGTAGCTTCATACCCTTTTGATTGATTACAACAATCATACCTTAATGAATGATTACAACTGAATCAAGTATTTTAGCTTATTCGCTCCAAAGAGACTAAACCCACAACCAGGAACTATTCGCTTATCGGGAAAAGTTCAAATTCAAATAATTTTTGATCATATGAGTTACAGCTGGGGAAAAAACCCTACTAAATCAATACCATTAATTTGGGCAGAGGATTAAGAGGATGCTTTGAGCGTAAGAACTTACTAATAATATCCTTACCTATTTTCAATATAAAATACACGGATTTAGTGATGGTACTGAGTAGAACACAATTTTGACACCATTATGTCTTATCTGATCTTCATTTGAGAAAAAGGGCTTGAGTTTCTTCTCAAGATTGCAGTTAAGACTTGAGATACTCCTGATTTCCAGGCTGATCACCAGGCTGGTGATAGGGATAAGCAGTTGTATTTTATTATAAAATAATAACAGAAGGAGTAAGAAAATATTTTTCCTGCTTTTTCCTTTTTATCTTGTATGAATTCACTGTAGTGACTGCTCAGCTTCCAGGACCAAATGGCTACACAGGTGGAAAGATCATCTTTATTGATACAGAAAACACTTTGTATCTTTTGGACTATTAAAGATACAGGTAGGATGAACTGGAAAGACAGTTTGTTATAAGCAAGTAGGAGGCTCCAGATAGCTTCATACTTGTAAAACATTATGGCTGACAGGAGAGAGCCTGGAGAGCACGGTGTGTAGAGACCCACAAGGCAGTGGCTTTTGTCTCAATGGAATCTGACCTGGGAAACTTGGTTAGGATACAGATTTTATTTTAACTGGGAGGTTTTTTTTGAGATCTAATATGCCTTCTACAGGTTATAGAAGCTTTTTTATACACTTCAAGAGAAATTCATCTAAGTACTAAACGCTATTTTTAACACTTCATATCTGTGGTAGACTGCATATAAATAGATTTTGCTCACAGCTAAATTCCTAGAGCACAGATATCCATATGTCACACCCCCCTCAAACCCTGAACACAAAACAATTATCATCATGAGACCTAAGCTATCTTTAGGGTACGTGGAACAGTGTGAAGAGAAAAAGTCAGTCTTCTCATGGATGAAAATAAATAATCTTTTTTTCTTTTCCCCCATAGTTCTATTTTGGAATGGAGTTTTATTATTTTCAGAACATGGTTTGTATAAAAAGAAATCCTTAACTTTGACTAACACCAGCAGACCAGACCGTCTCCGTGACATTGCTGATCGCTTCAGTCTTGACCATGATGCAGTACTGGACAATGTGTTGTATGCACGTGCATACACTAGTAAGACCATTCCTGCAACTGGCATCAGAGCTGTTTTTTCTTTAAGACTCCTGTTTTAATATTTCTCAGTTTATTAACTAAAGCTCCCCACTTAGGATCATAAAGAGTGTTTTTCTGCCAACAAAAGTTGTAAGCCTGCTTCCATTTTCTGTTTCTGGTGTTGGAAACTGGGGCCTACAAGGATGCCGGTCAGGGACTCTTCATCAGGGACTGCAGCAATAGGACAATGGGGAATGGGTTTAAAATTAAACATGGGAAGTTCAGGTTAGATATAAGGAAGAAGTTCTTTACTGTGAGGGTGGTGAGACACTGGAAGAGGCTGCCCAAAGAAGTGGTAAATTCTCTGTTCCTGGCAGTGTTCAAGGCCAGGCTGGACGGAGCCTTTGAGTAACACGGTCAAGTGGAAGGTGTCTCTGCCTATTGCGGGGGGTTTGGAACTAGATGATCCTAAGGTCTTTTCCAACCCAAACCATTCTATGATTCTATGATTCTATTTCAGCTCAGCAGCACTACATAAAGTTTTGCAGTTTGCCACAACAAGGAATGAACTCTGCTGGTTGCCTGACAAGTGGCAGTATAGGATCTTAGTAAGAGAAACACCGACCAATGTAACCATAATTGCCTGGATGCAAGCTAATTCTATAAATGCTGTTGAGAAATTCTCTATGGTCTTGTGAATGGGACTTTACAGGAACAGATCCAGCATACTCTGCCACAAGATACTGCCTTAAAACTTCAAGGAATTTTTAAATGGGACTTTTATTTGAGAGTACAATATGAATATGAATAATATGATTAATACTATTTCTGTGTGTCATTGAACTCAACATTAGATTCAAATGTTTATACTGCTTTTCAGTTCTTAACAAAAATACTATGCCTTCATGCAGAGTTTTCTTGTGAAGCTTTTCACAAGGAAGTTTTGTTAGAAACTGGCACCTGCAGAAGCACAGGCACTGTTGGATATTGTAGAGGCAGCTTGGTTTTGGGTGCTGGATTTAACACTGTTGGCAGTGAAAATACAAACAGTGCAGACATTTAAAGCAGAATTTTAAAATTCAGGCTTTTGTGTCTTCTGAGCTCTTTTGGCCCTAATTTCACTTGGCAACTGTACTTCCCACCAGGTGAACATCAGATGGAACTGCTTGACTATGTAGCAGCCAAGTTCCATGAGGAAGCTGATATTTTCAAGCTACTGGTACAAGATTAATTTTATTATCATTATTACTGCTTTTAGTATAGGTTCTGTTATTTTCTTTCACTGTATTTACTTACTGAGAATAATTACAATGCAGATCATTGACTCCATAATGGCACTTTTCCGTGTGGATTTCAGTGGTCGTGGGGAGTTGGCTGAACGACAACAGAAACTCGCTCAGATGCTGTCAAGGCTCCAAAAAATATCAGAAGGTGAGAGAAACATGGCAAAATTCAGAAAACATGGATTAGAGTTAGTGCAACAGTAGCTGTTAGTAGCACAACCACCTCATAGTCCAAGTGTATTATCGATCAGGCACTGGCATTTCTTCACTTTACACCTCTGTCAGTTACCAAAAAGAACAAATTGATAGTGCAGTATTTCAAGATGAGAGATTAAGGAATCTTTAGAACTATTAAACATTTAGAGTTTTTCTAGAAATACAGTTAAGACAAGTCTTAAATGAAAGAACAGGTTGTAGAACTGGAGAAATACCTGCCATGAGAAACCATGCTCCCCACATCTCAACAGTCTAAGTACACAAGCAACATGAGGAATACACAAAAGGATGAAGGCTCAGAGCCATAAAAAACTGTACCCATCACCACCTTCCCAGTACTTTGAAATGCTCTGAGGGATGAAGACAGGATGAATAGTGTTCCTCCTCTTTAGAATGTCTCAGGAATGTTGAAGAGGAATGAGTAAATGACTTTTCTTTTACGCAGTAAATTAAAAAAAAAACCAGCAAACCAACAAAGGGAGGGAGAGGGGGCTGCAGGCAGGGAGCCAGCAGAGAAGATGGGAACTGAGAAAGACTTGTTCAGTGCAACTCTGAAAAGTGCTCATTTTTGGCATAAGTATTACAGCTGACATCACACAACAGCAAATTTAGGCTGTCTCCTGATTAACTCCAACCATCAGATGTAAAGAATATTTGCTTCTCTTCTACTTGAAATCTGAAGGGCTTCAGCAGCAGCCTGGCTTTTCCCATGGGTGGAAGAATATTTTGGAATTAGAATTGGATTTGGTCGACCCTCTTTGCATTGTTTTCTATTGCAGAATATAACGTGGCCGTGTTTGTGACCAACCAGATGACTGCTGATCCAGGAGCAACGATGACGTAAGATACTTTTCTCTCTTTACCAAAACTTCCTGTCCTCTGTATTACATATTTAACAGAAATGAGAGCTGAGATTGTATGGAGCCAGAGCCACCAAAATGAAGGTTCAGATTGGTCACTGGTCCCTTTAATACAAGGAATCATTCATGGATGACAACTACAGGTTTCTCTCAGTCTTCGTTATGAGATTTTTTGTTTACCTGCTGCCTGGCATGATGGCTTCTTTCACTGTGACTTGAACAAAGAGAACAAGCCATATAAAGTACTGAAAGGCACTCAATTTTCTTTTGGAGCAATTATATATGGAGTTTAAGATGTGTATTTCTTGAGCCTCTTGAATTTAATGAGAGAAAAATTATGCCAGCATTGAACATTTGAACATCCTATCTTGAGGCCTTGTCTGTCAGTTAATCACAGCATTAACCTATGGAGTTTTCACAATTTTCTTGCTAATTTAGCTTTCAGGCAGACCCAAAAAAGCCCATTGGGGGCCATATCCTTGCTCATGCTTCGACCACCAGGATTAGCTTGAGAAAAGGGAGAGGGGAGCTGCGTATTGCAAAGATATACGACAGGTAAATCACCCTTCCTTCACAGGAAGGAAGTTCTGTTATGAGCAACTGCAAGGTGACAAGTTCATGGGACTGAAACTTAATGGTTTGACAGAGACTTAGAGTTTCAAACTAACCACGTTTCTGGATGGTAAATTGAGAGAAAATCTGACAGGACAAAGTACTTAACAGACTTACAGTTGTCTTGTGTATTGCATGCATTAAACTATATAATTTTTCATCATAAATCCTACTAGATGCTTATCTCTTAAAGAAGACCATCAAATAGTTTGGCAACTCTAGTGGTCCCTTGGCAGGAAAATTTCAGAGATGTTAAATTACTAAGTTTTGCTGACTCCGTTAGTATCACTTTATGTGGTAAGCTGTGGCAGGCATAAGTCACTAAAAATCACACCAGAACTACACAGACAGACCAGTGTTTCTGGTTAGGAACTAAGAAACTGAAATGAGAGTTTGTGTTGGATTTCACATTTGCTGATCTTGGTAATACTCATCACGTTCTACAGCTTACATACAGGCATAAAGACAACGTATATGTAACCAATCTGGAATACTTCAACATTTTGGAGACCATTTCACAACTGCATTTAGCATGGGGAAACCCACATCTTTGTTGTTTCTTTTTTCCCAGCCCTGAGATGCCTGAAAACGAAGCCACGTTTGCAATAACTGCTGGAGGGGTTGGGGATGCCAAAGAATAGGCAGAAAAAATGATGTAAATGTACAGCTGAAAACAACATGGGTAACTGTGATGAAGATCTGTGTGAGGTCACCAACTGCCTGGCTGCATTTTGAGAACCAACTGGGATGAATTTTGTACAGTTCAGTTTTATTGATCCTAATAAGATTTGGTTCAGTTTGGGTCTTTGTTTTACAACTGAACTCAGCAAACAAAGCTTTTAAGAAATAAGCTTGTGAATTGTTCAAAGAAGCCTTTTCTTACATTTTGTGAAAATCAAAGCTGTCCTTTCATATAAAATTAAAATACACTTTTTTAGTTTCTTTCAAAGAAAGTGGTTATGTGGTAAAATTTAATAGTGTGAAATGGAACAGAATTGGAATAAACTCAGTTATAAAACTGATATAAATAGATGAAAAAAGCAGTGGCAGGAGCAACAGCCCAAGAACTTGGTGGACCCTCACATACCATACACGAACATGTTGCTTCAAAAATATGTTTTCAAGCATTTTTATCTTGACTAGATAAGTTTGTATTTTTATTTAGCATTCTCTACTTTTCGGAAAGAATGTTTTCAAACTGTTCATCTTAAAGTTAAAAATAAAGATTACGAACCACACTCTGCTTCTGTTTGGGTGCTTTAAACCAAACCCTGCTCTCAATAATCTCACTGATCTTTCACAATGCAATCCCACATTTTAACACCTTTTGTCTGGTTCTCTAAAGAAACAACCTTTATAGAATTTGCCTTGTCAGTCTCCTAATATAAGTAAGAATATTAACATTATTAAATAATATTATTATTAAAAAGCAGATGAAAGTAAAACCAGTGATTTGATAGGGCAGACAGGCTGACACCAATACTTAACACTGCTAATGCACATAAGAGGCCACGAAGTAAAAAGGCAGTGATGGCCAGAAATTCATGCAAGAAAAGCCTGACACGGTGACAGACCTAGAATTTGCCTTCTTCAAGTGGTTTCCTAACAGATCTCTCTTATTTTTCCTGAGGTAAAGCACTATTTTTAACAGTGGAGAGGAGTTTAGAAGGAGAGGCAGGGAGGTCAGCTGATCTCTGAAGCTGGATGGAAGGGATCAGCCATTCTGAGTCCAGTTCGCTGTGCCAGTCCTTCCCACACCAGGCATTTGTATGTAAGGGCCACATACTGAGTATTGGTGAGAGCATATGGTGTCACTTGACTCCCCCCACCCACTTAAAAGGCCCAAGTTTCTTCCAACATTTTATTTCAAGCACCAAGGCTGCTTTTTGCTTTCCTACATATGCCATACGTACACGCACACAGTAGGTACAACCAGAACAGTAAACAGCTTGTGTTCTCATTCCAGGCCAAGTTATTTGTTTGAAGCGTGTGAAAGTGAAGGAGACACACTTTCCCTTCTGCCAACCTGCCTGACTTGTGATCATGTGGCAGCCCAGAAAGCTCTGCCAATGGTGCAGCAGCAGTTTGGGCCTCGGTTTGGTCAGGCTGGTGAACACATACCCCCCACCAGGCATGGCTTCTTGTGCAGGGACAGACCAGTTGGCTACTTGTCGGTAGGTACCAAAATCCTGAGCACAGCACAAAAGACCTTGCAACCTATGCCATCCAGCTGTCTCCTGGTTTATTTTATCTTATAGATGGGAGGGTCTGGTTGATCTAGGCAGTCAGACACTAGCAGCCCATAAACACAGCGTCAATGCCATGCCCAGTGTCCTTCGAGTACTTAAATAATTTCTTTGACCGCCTGCAATTAACACCACAGTGGGCAAAGAGAGGAATTCGTTTACGTTCCGGAGAGGCTGCTGTGACCCGCCTGCAGCTCCGGAGGAGGTCCATGACCGAAGGCTGCTAGCATGCCACTCACTTCCTCCCGGTCTCTTGGCACTTGGGTGAAAGCAGACATCACGGCTGCTGTCTCCCCTGTTCCTGCTCCAGATACCCTTCGTACTCTGCCAGGGATAAAAACAGAGGGAAACAACCCAGCGCACCAGCCCCACGCGGCCCCGCCGCCCTCCGCTCCCGTTATTGTCTTCTCAGCCCCGCTCCCATCTTCCGGGGGGCCAACGACTGCCGAGGCAAAAAGTCGTATTCTCCAAACGCGACTAGGCTGCAGAATTAACGTAATAGGCCGACCCCCTGCCAACCCTTCCTGCACAATCCGTGGGAGAATTTTACGCAAAACGCACGGCCTCTTCCTGCCCTACGCCGGTCTGAGTTACGCAACTCGCGTACGCCCGGTACTTACGTAACGTACGCCTCAACCTAGCTTTTCCTTACCGTCCAGAAGGAGTTACGGCATTGACTCTTTACGTAACAGACTTTGAGGAATAGGGAGAGCGTTACTCGCCTCCCTCCCTTCATCACGCGGGGGCCCGATTCAAGTCAAGAACGCTACGCACTTTCCGTAGCCTGCCTGCCGCGCGGACCAGTGTTTCTCCAAGCGAGCTTCGGGTGTAGTTGGTTTCTGGGAATAGGCGTAGGTATTTTCGAGGGCCGCAGATTGCGCAGCGCCGGGCCGCCCGTAACGTAACCGAAGCGGGCTGGGGCGGCGGCAGCCATTTTGTGCCGGGAACCCGGAGGAAGAAGACGCTGGTGTCTCCACACTTCACGGGCCCTGGAGCCGACCGAGAACCCCGGCGTTCCCCCCGCGGACGTCCAGCGGGTCTCTGACCCACTGACCACCTCTTCTCCTTTTGTATCCCACCAAAGAAGCGAGGTGGCGCAAAGCGATTCCTCCGAGACACAGCCGCCTCTGGCTGGCCCGTCTCCTCGAACCCCCAGTCCCTCGCCGTCCCCACGGCCGGCATTCCGCTGCCTCTCTCCCACCCCTCCGGGTGCGATGAGAGGCTTCGGGGACCGGGGCCGAGACCGTGACCGCGGCGGGTAAGGGGAGGGGGCAGGCCGGGCCGGGGGGAGGTGTCGGGGCGGTGAAGGGAGCCGTTTCCCTCGCGTGGGGGGCCTCGTTGGGGGGGAGGGCCGGGGGGTCGTCGTGGGGATGAAGAGGGTGCGTTCTACTGGCGGTATTGGAGGAGCTTTTGCTCCAGAAATCCTCAGGGGAGGGGGGAAGGGGGTTGGAGACTTTATTAGTAGTGCTCTGGCCGCAAGGCGGGGGGTGGGCTGAAGGGGGTTTATTTGGCTTTTCTATCGTTCGTGTGTAACCGTGTGTCCCTGCTTGCAGTTTTAGGGCCTGCATTCCGCCGCCCCCCCCCCCCCCCCCCCCATTTATTTTCTGCCACCCTTCGTTATCCTGCTTCCTCCCCCCAAGCCACCAAGGTCTTGGTGGCCCGGGCAGGGGTGTTTGGACGGTCTGCCCTTCCGATTGGCATTACTCCTTCTGTACTGACTAGAAAGATGGCATTTGATGATTTTTCTCAGTTGCGCTCATGGGCTTTATCGTGAGAGGAAATGAGATCGAAAGGTGCTGCCATGCGGGGGACTTGCATCCTCGGGAGGGTGATCTCGGTAAACCTGGCTCTGGACCAGACTTCAGGAGCATGACCAAGCTTACGTAGCAGTCAGACAAGACTTGTCTGTGTGGCACTGCAGAGGCCTAGTCCTTGATACTCTTGAATCTGCTGTTTACAGGAAGTGTGGCTTGCAGAAGGGTTCTGCAGGTTTGATTATTATTTTTTGACTCTTCCGAGGGTGGCAGCAGTAAACACAATGACATAGTATATGACTAGTTTAGGACTTGTTTTTTTTTAAGGGTTGAAAGTACTTAGACGTTGATTCCAGGCCTTTTTAAAGAGAAAGCACAATTTAGGAAAGCAGCGTTTTCCGTCCTTCAGATGACTAGTTAGGCCTTCATTTACAAGGATTGACAATAAACATTTCATGTGGGTACTGTTGTTCTTACCATGAAGGCTAGGTCAGTTGGTAAGTCTCCCCCACCCACTTCTTTCCTTTATTGTTTTCCCTCCCCACTGGGAGATTTGTATATATTTTGTTATATATTGCAGTGCACTTTAACATGTAGTTTCCTGTTGCCTGTGGCAAGAGATTAGTTGTATCCTTGCGTTATCTTACACCCACATTTCACACTCTGAAATTAAAAGATACTTTTTTTTTTATCAGGGGAGAGTTCTGGTGTTTTTCCACTAGTAGAGTTCCAGCTTAGTTTTTAACCCAAGAACACTGGAGTAAATGCATTCGCAAGTGTGAGATAGTTCAAACCCCAGCTGTTTTGGGAGTTTAGTGAGTGAGTTTGAGTATGCAGCTTTATATACAGTTGCTTAACACTGGCCAAAGCATTGTCACAATGCTTGGCGTGCCTTAACATTTTTGTAATCTCATCTTGCGTAAAGACTTTGATTGTAGGTGAGTGTTTCACTCTTAGGTGAGGGATTTTGCATAAGTGAAAGGAGTGCCTACATTTTGCAAAGTTTTTGGACATTTGCATGGAAAATCCTTTTCTTGGCATGTTATCCTGGAAGCTTTAATGCATAGGGATTCAGTTTATTAGTTATGTTTAATGGTTACAAATATTTTCATACCTTAACATCATACGTCATAAATAACCTCTATAAAATTTGGGGCCATTTTAAAATTTATCACCTTTTCCTTGCTGATTCTTTCATAGGCCAACAAAATGAAATACAGGCTTTCTGGTTTCCTCCTGTCAGGGGCGAGTTGTAGGTGATTTCTTAGAATTGAAAGTTGTACTATTTTGCTCTGGACTATAACAACTTTAATCAGTTCTGCCCCAGAAATTATGGCACCAGTAACATTAGAGAATGTTTTGAGTTGATCTGAATTTAACACTTGAAAACTGTTGGCAAATCAGTGGAATAATCTTAGATTCAAATCAGTTAACTAGAATTTGAATCTTGTTTGACTTGTAATCAGAATGTAAAGTGTCAGTTACTGCCAGTTTAGCTGATAAACTTCAGCAGAGGCAGTGTTCAGGGACTGCTGCAGGGCGCACTTCTGTCAGGTCAGTACACATGCAAAAATGGAGACCTGAAACTATTTGGCTTCTATATAAAATACATCAGTTCTTCCCTCTGGATAGCTATGGAGCAAGTATTTGTAATACCCAGCTGTTTTTAGTGTCCAGTTTTGCAATCAGTTCTTTATGTGTTTCATAATGAAACTTCACTGAAACTTTGAAACTCCAGTTGATTTCAGTCGGATACAGGTTTTGTTAGCACTACTTGTATATAGAAATAGTTGTCATTTTGACCTCAAGTGAGCATGAGCAACAGCAAACACCTCCAGTATAGGTGAATGTGCCTGTAAATTAAAATCTATACTTTTTCTCTTTTTTTCCACTTTGATCTGAAAAAAAATGTAGTGCTGAAATGAATTTCTGAAGTTGCCTTTCACAGGCATGTTACAAAAGTTGCTGAGCATGCAGCTTGTCTGGGGGATCCCATAGACATACCAAGGAGAAAATAAGGTATATTATAGGAGGGGGAATGAGACTAAATGCACAGCTGCAACAAAGCAAACATTTAAAAAATTACTTCGCAGGTTTTAAGTTAAATTATCAACCACACTTAGCTTTTCCAACAATGCAACCTCTTCTTTTTGTTAATGTGTTCTTTTTTTCTGGTCTGTCAATCACTATAATTTGTAGTTTTCACTGGAAGCAATTTGAAGACTAAATGTAGTTAATGGCTGAACAGAGTCTTGTGCTTAAGGTAATTCAGAAATTTTTTATTTCAGCTCTTCCTTTTTTAGCACCCCTCTCCTCCCAGATTTTTGTTGCTTTTGGTTTGTTTCATTAATAGTTGATTTTTCTTTTTTTTTTTTTTTTTTTTTTTACTAGCTGACTGCCTGGGTTAGGTGCAGCCACTTTGGATTTGCTGTCTAAATAGAAGTCTTCTTTTACATGGGCATTTCTCATGAATCCATATTTTGGAGAAGGCTGTAGCTTTCTTAAGCAAAATCTGAATTAGAACAAAATTTGATAGCACTGGGAAAAATACCTTCTGCTGTGTTTGTACAATACTAATGAGAGCACTGTGGCTTTTTTGGTGGAATTTTAAAATACATACTTTGTAATATTCACAGTAAAGAATCATTCTGTGCCACTCAGTTTTCAGTTATTCTTCCAGATTATTGGCAGAAGCTCATGCTGTCTCTAATGCCTTAACAAGTGATTACAGTCAGTTCTTAACCTTCTAAAGTGTATTACATTAACTGGGTAAAAACTTAATGTGAGCAAGAAGACTTACATGAGAGAGTAAAAGCAGTAGCTCCTGAGTTGTTCTGCTGGCTAGGAAATTTTTAGTAAACATTAGCTTACTTTCTCGAGTCTTCCTCCAAAGCATTTGAGAGGGGGTATGATTTTTCCACATACTTTTTTTGTTTTGGGCTTGTTGGTTTTTTTTTTCCAGTGTTAGGCTCTGGTTTAAAGAAACAATATGCATTTTTTTAATTGATTTGGTTCCAGATCCACAGATGGACTTCAGGCTTGGCGGGACATACGTACTTTCTGTTCTTCACTCTTGGTTTGCTTGATAAGAAAGGAGAGAAGACATAGAGGGGGAGACAGTGAAGTAGCTGTTTTTTTGTGCAAGACTAACCTTGGGAGAGGTACAAGGAACTGACAGAGATTTTTGTCATCCCTTTCATCTAACCATGTTTTAAGTGTACTGTCAGTTTCAAGAAGAGGTAAGTGCTGTAGCTGTACCCACAGAGTTGTCCTGAGGGAGGACAGAAACCAAGAGACAGGAGCTTTAAGGCAGTGATTTACTGGCAGTGGATGATGATTTGGGGTTTAAAACTGACTAAAGCAGAGTTATTTCAGGAAGTTGCTTGCCATCATAGTGATAGGCAGGGGGTGACTTATGCTAGGTTACTGTGCTCATGTGTCAGCCTGGGGAAAAGAGAGTGAAAATGCTTAAGAAAACTGTAAATTCCAGAGGAATTAAGTACTGTCTTACAACTAACACTGACATTCGCAGGTTTGGAGCAAGTCGTGGAGGTCCTCTTCCTCCAAAGAAATTTGGTAATCCGGGGGAACGTTTACGGAAGAAAAAATGGGATTTAAGTGAGCTGCCCAAGTTTGAGAAGAATTTTTACGTGGAGCATCCGGAAGTGGCCAGGCTTACTCCGGTAGGTTTTCACAGCCTGTCTGTTCCATTTTGCCTACAACAGAAAATGTCACAAGTGAAAAAACTTGGAAGCCTGGGGAAGTGTGTAATAGAACTGTCTCTTCCTTAAGCTGTTTTGGTACGGATGCTGTTTCTAGTTGCCTTCTGTAACTTTGCATTCAGTAAGGGTGGTGTTCCTGCTGTTGGCTGATTTTATATGAGAATATTTTGCATTTGATCTTTTGTAATTTAGCATCATAATGCTTGTCTGGTCAAGCTATTTGTCAGTATAGATAAGACTTGGAGAATTTCAGAGTTGTAGTACTGGGAATGCCCTGGAGGAACCTAAACTAGTAAATTAAGAGTTGCAGAAATGCATGAGAAAGGTTCAGAAGTAATGTTTTATCATAATAATAATTGAGGCTGAAAGAGGCCATGGGAGATCTCTATTCTAACTCTGCTTAGAGCAGGGCTAATTACAAAACCAGAGCAGGTTGCTTAGCACCTTGTCCTTTTGAGTTTGAATATCCCCAGGGATGGGGAGTTTTTTATATCCTTTCTGGGGGTTGTCCCATGGCTTAATGTTTCTCATGGTATTTCACTCCCCCCCCCAAAAAAAAAAAAATTTGCAGCATTTTCTCTATAGTGACCCATTGGGTAGTTGAAAGTTGGAGCTAAATTGCCTTGTTAGTCCTCTTTTTCCCAAGCTAAACAAACCCAGCGCTCGTTTTTCATCATACAGTCTGTACTCCAGCCTCTTGCTTTCT